GGAACGATATCCGAAAAGCTGTGGAAACAGCAGTGATATCTGCTAGTAAGGTAAACCAGAAGGTTAGGGAGCAACACTGGATCTCAGCAGCATCTATCTCACTGATAGATGCTCGGAAACTCATTCCACCTGGCTCTGAACATAATGAAGAGCGGAGTCAGCTTAAGCGCAAGCTGACAAGAAGCCTACGCAATGATCGCGAACAGTGGTGGGTGGCGAAAGCAAGAAAGATGGAAAAGGCAGCGGCAATAGGTAATAGCAGACAATTGTTTAGACTCGTTAAGGAAACCGGAATTAGGAATTCGACCGTTAGCGAAACAATCTCAGAGAAAGATGGACATATTATTCATTCTCAATCCAGGAGATTGGATCGATGGGCAGAACACTTTAGGGATCAGTTCAACTGGCCTTCAGCCACACTTCGGTTTCCCACGATCTCTAGTCAACCTGAATGGCAAGTTAATGTAGGTCCTCCGTCCCTTTACGAAGTTAAAAAAGCCATAGGAAATCTGAAACGAGGGAGAGCAGCAGGCCCTGACAGGTTTATCCCTGAGATTTTTAAGGATGGTGGTCCAGTATTAGCAGTGAGATTAACTGAGGTCTTAGGTAGAATTTGGGAAGTGGACATAATCCCATCTGACTGGTCTCAATCACTGATTGTGCCAGTCTATAAGAAAGGACAAAAGTCCTCTTGTGACAATCACAGAGGAATCAGTTTGACTAATATAGTGTCTAAAATATTAGCTTCAATAATACTTCGACGCCTAATCAAAGCTCGTGAAGAGCAGACTAGAGAAAACCAGGCCGGTTTTCGACCTGGACGTGGTTGTATAGATCAGATATTCGCACTACGACAGGTTCTAGAACACAAACACACATTCAGACGCCCCACAATGGTAGTATTTCTCGACCTTAAGGCGGCATTCGACTCTGTTGATCGTAAGGTTCTATGGCAGTGTTTGTCACTGAAAGGAGTACCAAAGAAGTACATTAACCTTATAAAGGCTCTCTACTCGAACACAACTGGTAGAGTGAGAGCTTATGGCGAACTGTCATCAGAATTGATTACCTCAAGTGGTGTTCGTCAGGGCTGTCCACTCTCCCCATTCTTGTTCAACTTTGTGGTCGACGTACTTTTAGAGATAACACTCTCCTCATCTAAATTTACAGGGGTTGAACTTCTACCAGGAGATTCACTTGTTGACTTAGAATATGCTGATGACATAGTTTTATTTGGTGAAGACGCTAACAAAATGCAGTCTTCTGACCACTCTAAGCAACAATGCAAGCATGTTCGGGATGCGATTCTCTCCCTTGAAATGCAAAATGTTGCTTCAGGATTTGGTTGCGTTGACACCCGAACTAATGATAGGGAGTGAAGTAGTTGAGTGTGTCGACCGCTTCACTTATCTTGGAAGTCTCATCAGCCCTTGTGGTCTGGTTTGTGACGAAATCTCAGCACGGATACCGAAGGCTCGACTAGCTTTTGTCAACTTGCGTCATTTATGGCGTAGGCGAGATGTCCGTCTATCAACCAAAGGACGCGTTTAATGCGCAGCAGTTCGTTCCGTCCTACTTTATGACAGTGAAACATGGCCGGTGAGAGTAGTGGATATTCGTGGGTTACTAGTATTCGATTATAGGAGTCTTCGAAACATTGCTCGTATATCATGGGACCATCGAGTAACACAGTTGTTAGGAAACGGGTACTAGGTAAGGATGGCAAATCAATTGAAGTAGTGAAACTTCATCAGTTGAGATGGCTGGGACACGTGTTACGTATGCCCAATGACCGACTGCCTCGACGTGCGATGTTCAGTGGTATAGGAGTAGGTTGGAAGAAAGCTAGGGGAGGCCAAACCAAAACATGGCACAAGTCCATGAAGTCACTGACAAGTGAACTGAGTCATGTTGGTAGGCGTAGACTATCTGGTTGGGGACCGCGAGATGATAGCAACCGATGGTTAGAGACCCTGAATGACATGGCTCAAAATCGTTTGCAATGGCGCAGGTGCATCCACTCTCTATGTTCTCCCAAATTCTAATCCTCTGAATTCTTCATGTCCCTTTTTTCCTCTTTCCAAATTTATTTCACTGGATTATACTCTTTAAATAACATCTCCAAACCCTAATCTTCCCGATTACTGCTTATACTCTTATTACCTCTACCACTACAGGATTTGAATCGACAACTGCATCTCTGTGCTAATGTGGTGTGGCAACTCGAAGTGATGTACGTACGTACGAAGTTCTACGTTGTTACTGACTTACTGACTGACTCTGTACAACATGTAACCGGAGCAGTCGAAATTGATGAGTTTAGAGGGATAGTGTATTTAGTTCATCTATGTAGCACGATAGACGATTAGAAAAGTTTCATCCAAGGCTTCTGCTTACAAGAGTCTAGGAGTTACAGGATTCGTGATTAGTGACCTAGGAACAATGAGTGACTGTAAGGCGGACTCTGTCAAGGTCTCTTAGCCATATGGGACATCTATGTACTTAGTGACACCTCCCATGACGGATAATGAACGTAAGTGAATAAGCAGGCACGTTGTGTTTATGATGTAAATATACTCAGGATGTTATATCCGACGTATATAGAGTCATATTTAGAAAATGGGGTTCAGTTAGTAATATCTTGTCAGAATTGTGTAGATGGTACACCAAAACGGGTTCAGAGGCGATTAACACAAATAGTGGACTTTATCTCTAACAAATCTTAAGAAAAAAACCCGAGAAATATTGGACTAAATAAAAAACAATAATCTACATCTGGGTTTTCATTGATCTCATCAAGTAGTGCATTACTGGAATTCTATTAGTATGCTCTAAGGAACACTGGATTCTCATAGTAATAAAAACTATAAAGTCACTCAGTAATTGATATAATAGACTGTTCAAAAAATTTTTGTCTCTCAAGTATAGTACGGTAGTACGTCAACGCAATAATAAGACTAGTCACATTATATCAGGATCAGGATTTATGACCCAGAATAGAGAACCGGGTTAACACTAGGTAATACTCTATTCGATTCAGTTATAGGCAGCTACATTCAGTTAGTTCATGGTAGAAATCAATGAAAGGAAAGGAAATCACAAAATTATTAGTCCGCATGTTGTTTGTTGTTTGAGTACTATAGACTTCCATTACTTTTAAATCTCGAGTCGTTTTCCTAAATGAGAGTCATATAGTAGTACCGTCGAACCCCGTACATTCAGAACTTTAATCTTTTACTTATACTTCTGAAGAGTGAAGACGGACTGCTGCCCTCGCAGCTATTATTTAGTGTTTGTAGCGTCTAAACCCCTTTAGTTTCGGGTTCTTTATGCCTCCTATGAGACGTCAGTTTCTAGCCCTTCCCCAAAGATAAAACCGAAGAACAATTGTACCGAGGTTATGACAATTCACAATCACTACAGAAATGTTTAGAAAGTATATAGACGAGCTGCGTAAGTAGGCAAAACAGCGGTTGAATTGTTTGATGCAACTTCTACGTAAAATAAGAAAGATTGATCAAAAGGAGAGTTCGCTCTTCGGCAAGTTCATTTTCAAAGCTGTACGATCGCAAATATAAATATATATACTTATTGTTCAAGCTGATGACAATTACAATAATAGTGATTATGAATTCCGTTTAACATGGTATCAGTAAGGTAGAAAAAAAGATATTAAAGAGTTACATTTCTTTTATCAGAGAAACGGATAATAGTTTTGTTATTGATGCCCTGGATATTAGCCGTATAAATAGGGATGCCTCTGAATTAGACCATATACATGTAATCAGGAGAATCATAGAAACAGAAATATACGAGCTGCGGGAAGGCAGATGGTTTTGAATAAAGAAAAGTATGAATAAGAAAGAAAATAATGAAATATTAAGGCCATGACAGAAGAAGAGGTTGCACCAGTTTCTTTTGCACACATAATTTGAGTGTTTCCAGATGCACAGTTAATACCAGGGTAATGTTGGGAAGATACAATATAGCTACATTTGTCAGCATTCTACTTACCCTGTAGATTACTCTGAGTCAAGAGTCCGCTCCTATTAAGTAACCCGTGTTCACAAGGTTTATGATTATTGGGTTTTTTCCGCCTCCTTTGGCCAGGCAGGATAATATTTTTGAATTCCTTTGGACAAAATACACATCAAATAATCTATATACCTGGCTCGATATTAGCAGGTAAATTGGTGAATGCAAACAGAGTTGGGCAAATTAGATAATTTAATTTCAAAATTATTGAATAATGTTGATTGGCTGGAGATCACTATTCGCAAAGATGATGCGAAAAACGTTCTTTTTGGAGAACTAGAAATTATCCACTTTAGGAAGTTTGTAACTTCACCACTCCTGAAATCGATGTTCATGTAAAGTGTTTTCTGTTCTACAGAGGTTATTTGTGCTCCATGTGGTTTGGGTTTTTTATTTGTCCGGCCAAATCTAGAATACATTAATTAAATAAACTGCTGAAGAAGTCAAAAATAGTTATTTGTTGTCGACGAGGTACGTCCCTGTGAAGTGGTAGACGCGATTCTGCTGGCTGATGACTGAACCCCCATGCTGTAACGCTGACAGACAACAGTGTGTGAAAGTATTTTATATGCGGGCCGTGAATAACATAATAATCAAACTAGTAAGGAATATAAACCAGTGTCCTATCAAATGAATAAATCGCTCCAAATAGTCTGAAAAAATAACACCATCGTCAGTCGGTAGCCCAGTTTAAGCAATCCAAGCAAATCTAAAGAAGAAACATGGCAGCCATCAAGAGAAGAAATCAATTAAAACAAAGTCAACATGATATGAAGATTACAATGCAAATAACATCAATAGTAACAATAACGTGGAATTAGAAACAAACGGAATACTGAAATGGTGATGATGATAAACTAGCTTTACAGTCAAGAGTAAGTAAATTGGTTATTGTTACTTAAAACACATACACGAATGAATTGTCACTAGTTAGCATACACAAAACGTTGAGAAAAGATATCAGAATGTGTTTTTCTATTTACCCTAACGAGGTTTGTAAATTCGTCGGTGAATAACTGAGAAATACACCCGATATGTCAATAGAATATTTTATTGAAGTTCACAAACGCACTAAAAATGGGGCATAGATCAGTTTTACCAAATGAATTTTATGGGAAACCGACTTGACATAAGTTACATGTGGGCTAAAATTCGTAACCTCTCAGCCAGTCTTAATCATAACTTAAAGAAGTACATGCTACCAACGTGTTTCAACTCAAGTTGCTGGTTTAACTCATATATTACGAACCGGTGTAATTCATGAAAATGGGTAAAAGAATCCGGTTTTGTGGCATGTAACAGGCGTTTCATGTGCGTATAATATCTATCGTAAAGCATTTAAGTACTGGGAAATCTACGGTGGTTGCTTCTTTGTACTTTATACACAGTGAGAATAATTACCAAGGCTGGAAATGAATACTCAACAAACAGGAAAGGGGGAAATAGATCTGATAACACGAGCCAATTAATAAAAATGTAGTGCTCTTCAGGTGTCAAGTACAATGGAAACACTACACTAACGATTGCTTTCTTGGTGGGTAAAAATGTTTTGTTTAAATCTGTCAAGATAAAATTCATATTCATCATAAGGCGCTAGCTACTTTCTATACCTTTCACACGGGTAAGTTCATCCTTTTTTCGTCCCACTCTAACCGTTTGTATGGTTGCACTAAAGGATGTTTGTTCCTGACAATATTTTCTAATCCAGCAGCTTTTTCTCGATTGGTAAAAGTGTTGATTGTAGGTTTCTGTGTATTAGTCGAGAATTTTGTAAACATGTGTATTATGTTACGTATGTCTTGTCAGCTACAGACAAAACCTCCGCTTATGCACAGGCACATTGTCATCACTATCGAAGATAAGCCTGTCGTGCAAATCAAGTGAAAATATTCAAGTTAGCTCAATATTATCATTGCCAAGTAAATATAGTCAAAATTCTATCTCGTAATCATTCAATCGTTGTATTTATAATCCTTAATTACTGCAGAAGTCTACTTGCTGAACTAATCGTCCGTTCATCCAGTGTACTTTGCGTAGGTTGGAGATCTTTATAGGTCTTCCGCTTTCGGCTGTATGATAAGTATTTGTAAACCGTGGCCGTGTTTTTTCTGATACGACATCCAGATTTGAATAGAGATTTTCCGTAATACCTGTTGTACGGTCTTGCACTCTTGTGCAAGGCCATCATTCATTCTCTGCGAACCATAGACTATCGTCCCTGATTAAAGTATCAGTTTTATTTGTTTAGATACCCAATTTGTTGATAGACAACAGCCAAAAATTTATGATGGACACCATTTATGATAGTATTTCTGCGCTAATTGTCCCTTGCGTTTGACTCATGCATTTTTTTGTTACTGTAGCTACGCAGAATGCCACGCCGTTCCAACGCTAATTCTGACGAAAGTCCAGTGACCAGACGTACTAGTGCTCGAATTGCTGCTGCACAGGCAGCGTCCCCTGCCAAGTCTCCAGCTAAATCTCCCCGTCGTAAAGTAAGTTGACATCTTGCTTGACACTTCCAGCGGCAGTCTACTGAACCAGCTAAAACGGTTTCTGACGACACTGAGTCACAACAGTCGCAAGTTAAGAGTGAGAGTAGTATGGAGGAGCTGAATGGTATCGATACTAGTTCTGTAAAGGATACTGAGCTAACTCATGATCTAGCGGAAATACCTCACAAAAAAACCAAGGTTGATAAGGAGTCAGACGATGGTAATAAACTTTGTTCTATACAACTCTCAGTAGATCATTTGTGTTCCGATCCCGAGAAGACTGAAGTTGAGCTACTGAAGGAAAATGACACGGTTGTAAATCAAACTCAAGATTCAAATACAACCCCTACTGACTTCGAAGTCGTCGAACATAGTTCAGTACCACCACCTGACAGTGCCGAGGTCCAAGCAGCCATCTCGGCGCAAGGTGATGACGGTCAGTTATTGGTTGGATTTATTCAAGTGAATAAGGACGAGTTACCGCCCTCTAATAGTTTGGAAACAAAACAAGTTCCAGCCGCTTTGGAGTCATGTAATGAAACAGTAACATGTGGCGCAGAAAGTGTCAAAAGGACGGATCCTAATGTAGAACCCTGTGTGAATAACCTAAATGGCAACTTTGGGTCCCAAGAGTCTAGCAAAGGTAATTCTTATTTTTCAACGGTCTTAAAATTCAGATGAACCTTCAAAACCCAATGGCACCGTACATGTTGAAGCCCACCACAAAACTCCCGTTCCTATTGAAGAACCAGTTATCCAACCACTTGTTGCTCCGGTTACTGGAGATATTGTTCTCGATGCTGTACCCGAAGTGATTTCTCAGCAGTAATTCATCTTGATTCCTCATTTATCAAATATTTGTCACTTCGCAAGCATCATAAACTGACTGATTAGTTTTTCGTTGAAAATACTGTTAATTTGGCAGCCCGGTCGTTAAGAACTGGTTTTGTTTAATTGTATGTTCATCTATGGATACAGAACTTTTATAAAACTAACGAGTCAGTTATATTGACCCTCATCCACTAAACTCTACACCACACGTTTCTATCCATTCCCCGTGTAGGTCACTGGTCCTTCAGTATAAACAATGTGTTTGATGATATTTATACACAAGTTTTTCCGATATTTTGCTTCGTTTTGTCTGTTTCATTCCTTCATGTAAACGCTTACTTCATGAAATTCACAGTGTTGATATTCATCATATACTCATATACGCTTGCGAGATTTTCTATTCTACTCATCATTGTATGTTCGTTTTTAACCTATTTCCATAGTTCCATGTTTTATAGTCACTATGCAATAGTTATTGCGTTGCCTGTATTATCACACTCCATTTGCATTTGGTTGTTTATAAAAATTAAAATTCATGTTTAATACTTGATTAGTGTGTTTTTAAATCCGATATATTGTCCCATTGTTTTAGTATTTTTAATTTGCTGCTCGCAAATTTCGACTGCGATAAGTTGCTTTAAATTCGTAGTTTGTTTCAGTTTATTAGTCAAATTGCTACAATTTAACTGCACTCAGTGTTTACCTTGATAGAACTTTCACACGTGTATTTTCTTAGACCTTAGTAGCTCGATTAATTTCTTTTAAAAATAGATATCCTTTACTACTTCAGTGATAACTTAGTTGATTATGTGTTTTTAGTAATAGTATGCATCAAAATCAAATAAGGCGTCGACGTACTTGCGAAAGTTACTTCAATCTAGTACTTTCTTAAAAGACTGAATAGGTGTGTATGATTTTTCTTTTACCATCTGATTCGGGCTTTGTATGCAATGTAGACAGCTATTTATACGAAGACTATAAGTGGTCTCGTTTTTCTAGTCTTCATCTTCGCAAAATAGTAACTGGTGACGGAAATAATTATTTGAAGGATGTAAATACCGAATAACATTGCGTAACACCTCAAATAAGTGTTATTGTCATCTGAATGTAGGGTAGTAGTGAATATCTTGCCAGTAGTCTATCAGTACAACTTCATTTGTCGGACCTGTCTGTTTCTTAGTTTTTACATAGACGCCCATCGAAAGTTTTACTAATTGATTTGTTAGGAAATTCGCCTATTGACTTGGAGTATGCAGATCGTTGTTCTTTTTGAGGAAGTTCCTTAGATTTGTTGAACAATGCGAAATGTTTGGGATACGTTATCCCCCTTGAAATCTCAAATGGAGCATCATGAGTGGTTTTCGTCAATGTCCGTTCTGTTCACGGAGTAAAATCAACCGGCACACATTGAAATTCATATCAGTCGTTCGTCTGTCCGATCGACACTGATACAAAGAAGACTCATTTGACTTCGGCCAATGTTTTCTACCCGTAACATAAACGAGATATTCCTATGCACACCAGTCCGCTCCATAGTACACTGCGTTTATGAAGATAGGTTACACACAGTCTATTATGGACGTCTTCGAAGCACTCATCATCAAATTAGTAATAGTGAGATGAAATGTAAGACTTTAGGTTAAAAACGATAAATCGGTTGACGTAGATATACAAGTTCATCAACCGAGATCGCTGGGATGTGTTACGTATATTTACGGCCTACCGTGATAAAAAATCGTGGTTGGCATGTGTTGAACGAAGACTGGCTAAATAAATACTAACCAGTTCACGAAGGCATCTACTGTTGGTCTTTGGTTGGATGAATAGGTTCTGCATGTTTGCATTTGTGTTGGCCGTAGTTTATAATTGATGACAGCCTTCAATCATTTGCATTCGTGGATTTATGTTCATTAATTCTTATGGTGAGACTATAATTTATGGACGACCTTAGAGCGACGCCAAAGTGATTTTGAGTGTCCACCTAATAACTAAAACCAAATAAGGGTTATAAACCTGTGTGAGGAATTAGGATTATGATTTACAGTTGATGGTTAGGATTAGAAGTTACCTTTAGGGTTTTCATCACGAACTGACATCAGCTAAAATGCTAAAACACTATTTGGCTAAATGGGTTGGTGAATTTCGCGCCGAAATCCGGGACCTGTTACCTTATGCCTGATTGGTTCGTCCATGAGTTATAGTCTCACCTTTAGTCTTGAACTCATTGTCATTCCATACTTCTCATTTCTCTGCCTAGTTTATTATCTTTGAACTGGGTTCCTCATGTTTATCTCTGAATTGTATTTACCGTGATTTTTCTTATCGTGTCTCTTGTTAATTTCATTTGCTATGCTGTTGTATGGTGTTACAATTTAAATTGATACACATTGGTGTCAAGTCCTACACTAAGTATGACTAATGGGGACTGCTACTATGATGTTGATCGTATTTACCTCTAGACCTATTCGAGTTATATTTGCTGAATTTTTCTGTGAATTAGTACTATGTCAGACATGCCGGCAGAAGAGCGATAAGAAAAAACGGTAGACTTAATGTATTAGAGTGAAATCATGATGATGTTAAAATTTTACCAAAACGATTTACGACTCAGGTAAGTGTATTTAGTGATGTTACATTCTTTAAACTGAGAATCAAAAGTAAACGTTTACCAAAGCTAATTAGCGTCTCCAGCTAAGGAGTTTAGGAAAGGTCGACCCCTAATATTTCTATCCCATTTATCAGAGACACCCTACCTTAATCTCTTTTTTACATGTAACCAGTGCTAACCAAACTTATGCCAATCTGGGCCACCTTTGGCGCCTTCGCGATGTTAGTCTGGCTGTAAAAGGTCGGATCTACAACGCGTCGGTGAGAGCAGTTTTGCTCTATGCTTGTAAAACCTGGTCTCTCCGAGTTGAGGACGTTAGACGACTCTCTGTGTTCGACCATCGCTGTCTCTGAAGGATTGCTGACATTCAGTGGCAACACCATGTCAGTAATGCAGAGGTTGGGCTTCGTGTGTTCGGGTGCAGAGACGATAATTCAATTGGTGTCACCATCTTGAAACACCGACTTCGGTGGCTTGGACATGTTCTGCGAATGTCGTTCCAGAGAATTCCACGTCGTGCATTATTTGCCGACTCTGGGACTGGTTGGAAGAAGCGGAGAGGTGGTCAGTGCATGACATGGTGTCGTGGTATGAAGGAAAGCTGCAAAGGACTGGCTTCTGTTGGTCCTTCACGACTCCCTGGTTGGGGTCTGGGAGATGGTGCTACACAGTGGCTAGAGACGTTATCAGATATGGCTCAGAATAGAAGCCAGTGGCGATCCTGCTGTAACCTTCTTTTACTTTCTTCATAAAAAGTGGTTGTGTCTCCCTTATCTGAAAGATTTCTTCTGATTGTACCTTTTCGTTCCCTCACACTACCTTACACCAATCTCTTCGTTATTGTTCTCTTTTTCTTTTGCGCTCCTTAGTTTTTTTTTCTACTTCTCTTCGAATTTTCATTGTTTTGTGTGGCGCATATATATTGGCGCTCTCTTGTACCGATATTCATGTGTTCAAATAAAACTTCAAATTACCACTCGGAGTTTTCAGTATTCAGATGCTGCACTTAATTAAACATCAGGCTCTACGATAATCATATATCTCAAACCCAAGCGTGGTTATTAACTTTACGTCTAACCTCTGTAGACACAGCGCTGCATACACTTCGAGTACTTGGAGACCTGACACCAGTTCCTCGTGGTAGTTTATTTTCTCTTTAGTTTCTAAAATATAATAGTTTTGAACTAGACAGTTTGTCGTACAGTATCTATGCGGATAGAACCTAAGAATCCTTAAGAACCAAGATACGTTGGTTATTTATAGTTTCTAAAGTGGAGGAAATTTATAGTTCAGGTGCATGCTTTTGATAGCGTTGAGTCCTTAGTGCTGGACAGCTTAATTGAAAAGCTTTCATTATCATTTTGGACATCTTACGTGCCTACTCTACGTAGGCTTTTCAGTTATTTCACAAGTGTTATATCAATTCATTCTGATGGCTTTTTTGTGAGTGTCTGCCTACATAGATATGGTTGTTGTTGTCGCCTGCTCTTGCATTTCGGTTAACTGTCCTCGTCAGTCGACCCCTTCAGTTAGTGTTAATAGATCAGGTTTCATTTCGATGTGTGTATTGATTGTCCGAGTGACATGTTCTTAGAAATTCATTCGGATTCTTAGGGTCCCCTCGATCCAGAATTATGACATTAGCCTATCCAAATTCATGTCCTTGGTTATCTGGGTGCATTGGCATTAGTGATATATGTCACCTCAGGGTTAGTCTGTGTCCATGTATACGTAGGTGAAGGGGATGTCCACTTTGTGCAATGTAATATTTCTCGTAGCTGGTGTGATTTATTTTGCAGATGATTTTAGGTTTATCTTTGCCGTTGTCTTTTGGTCTGTGTAGAATGGAATGAAGTGATTGTGTTAGTTTGTGAGCGACGTTGATTCCGAGGCACTTCAGTTCTTTTATGATAGTTACTGAGATATTTTTCATATGATAAGACGATCTGTTTTCGGACTTGGCTTTTTGACGGTATGCTGATTCATATAAATGTACAAATATTTGTTCTGACCAACAAATCAATAATAAGACGTCAAATGACCAGTTGTTCCCATCAGAACTGCGTATACCATTGAGATCTTATCCTGAACAAGTAGTCGGGATAATATATAGTTTTCCCCCATAGACTCAAAGGATAATCAATGGAGATCTGCGGCTGTATTTAGGGAAACGTAGACACTATCTCTTAGTTGTTTGTAATGCAACAGCTGTTTTGGATAGACCAAAGTTGGTTGTATTTGTGACCTTTAAAATGTGAGTATAAACTACATAAGATAGAAGATATTAGGGTAAAGAAAAGGTAACAACAGAACTTAGAACTCAGTTTCAGTGATCCATAAACGCAATGTGACTAGCCTTAGTTCATGTTTGTACGTGACTTTCCTGAAGT